GGCTAGATTGTGGATTTTGGTAGCTTTCATCCTCTGCCTTTCAATTTCTTCGATTGAGTCCTCTTTCTTGAGTTTCTTTTCCAATTTCTTCTTAACTTTCTTTTTGCATGTAGTCCTGAAACAAAAATAAAAATATAGATAGCTTAGTTAAATAAAAGGGGAAATTTCATATTTTTATATTTTTGATTTTTTTTTTAAAATTTTTTTGGATAAAAATTTGAGTTATGACACAATGGTGGTGGAATGATTGGCTCATTCTCCCCTTCTGAGTGTGCTGGATTGCCATCACCAAGCCCAATCTGTAAAGTCTGGGCAACCTGCCCAACGTTTCTTTTTGGTGACATGATTGCACTTTTTCTTGGAAAAAAGAACAGATCTGAAAATTGTAAGTAAGACACAATGAGGTCCCACTGGGCGTGCCAAAAATGGATTATTTCCTCAAAAATCCTCTAGTGACCTCACACGTGTGAAATCTGGATGCGGGCGTGCCACTTACTTTGCTGAAAGTAAGAAAGGAAGACTTTCCCAACGACCCTCTCCTTCTTCACGGTCGACCTCTTTGCAGATGGCAGGAAGAACGTTGGATTAAAATGAAATTTTCACCTTTAGACGATTTGCAAGGAGGGATGCCTTCCTGCAGAATGGGTTACCAAATCTGCCTTGGACAACTCCAAAGACTTAAACACTACCGTGACTTAAAGTTAACAAATCCTAATTGAACTAAATAGCCTGCAATTTAAAGTAAATTTGCGAGAAAAAGCTGTACCCAAATTAAACTAAACATGTTCATTGTTAAATTAAAATGCTATGTACTGGCAGATTTGAAAATTAAAATGCTGCAGAATTAAAGATTTCATCCTAATTAACATTAAAATTAACGTGAACAGTAATTAAACTACCATACTTGAGGTTGAAAAGAGGTATGAACACCACATAAGTAATCATTGAATAAAATGGTACTTATCATAAATATTAAATTAATTGTAAATGGAAAGAGAACAATACCTTGTATAAACTTGAAAGATTGAAGTTCATTGCATGAAAGGAAATTATTGAACTGAATACATGAATTAATTTGCCTACTGGAATGATGAAAAACAACATAATTCTAATGGAATATGTGCTGAAATTCGAAATCTGGAAGCAGATTGTAGAGAAAATAAAAGTATGAAAATTAGCAGTTGTTTGAGTAGGGCTGGCCGTGTCTTCTTCCTTCCAAAATTTTCCTTTTTGTTCTCCTTGTGCCGGAAGTAACTTCCACTTTCTGCAGTTACTCAATCATGAGTGGTTTCTTGAAGTAGTGGGACACCTCACCTTTTGACTTGGTCTAATCTCCTTGCAGATTTCGCCACCTGTACTCTTATCAGATAAAACCCTCTTTTAAACTGCAATCTTCTCTTATTTTCCAACTCCCATTATCCCTTTCTGTCTCAAGAAGATAATTACTCCATAAAAAATTATCTTTACCTCTCCTATTTTGCCAACACAAGTGCTGATCTGTCATGGGGTCCAGAATCCGAATCTAATATGGTTCAAACTCCTCCAACCAATAAAAAATATTTTACACGTGGCATTAATTTAAAATTTTACAATTTATGGTGTAAACACTTATTAATTAATATTCCTAATTGATTATTATCTAAAGAAGCATGTTTATTAGAATTTGTATTGTAATAATCTCTTAAAATTAAGAGTAAAATATAATAAACTCATTAAATGACATATTAAAATAAAAAAGTGAATTAACTGATTTTAAATACTTTAAATTGCAGAAAGTAGGATAACTAAACTTGAGCAAAGAGAGTAATTTATTAGGAGTAAATTAATGCTATAACCTTTGTTAATTAGTACTTGTAAATTTTAATTTTCAAAATTGTATTAAAGTCTTCTTTTTCAATTTTGACCTTATTAATAAATAATTACCTCATTCTTAACACATCTCAATATCCTAGCTAGCCTCATTATTAGTGGGTAAATATTAAATTTTAATTAATAATAAGTTTGTTTTTTTAGATACTTATAAAATTTTTTTTATAATTGTATCAAGTAAAAGTGTGATAAGTAAATGGATTGAAAGTAGAAGTAGTAGTAGTTTAATGGATCGATTACAATTAATGATTAAATAAATTTAAGTAATTCTTAAAAATTTGTTTACAATTTTGCCCCTTAATCCTTATTGCATAAAAAGGTCAAAAAATGTATTTCCAAAATCACATAAGAAGTGTCAATGCCTTGTTAACATTTTATTAACAACGCTAGTGCCATGTAAACATTTTATTAACACCGTTAGTGCCATGTCGGCACTTTCATTAACTGATGCTAATACAGGGAAAACAGTTGGCCTCTTCACTAAAGTTGGTGGATTATTATGAATTCATTTTTAGTAAAGAGACGACAATGACTTTACATGTATATTTAAGGACATTAAGACAATAAGAAAAAGATGACCGGGGCAAAATGGTCTTTACAGTCAAATTACCTCTTTTTGTCTCGCATTAATAATTGCTTTGTTTGAATGGCTTTCTTGTTCTATAGTTTGAAGTGTAACATATGATAAACTAGTAGAGGTTTGTGTTTCATTAAATAATTTATATTTTATAGTTTAAATTATGTAACAATTTTTTTTTTGGAATTACAAGCTAATATGTATTTTAAACAAAGCATTATCTTCTTTTTTTCAATTGTGTCCCTATTTAGACTTTTCAATTACTTGTCACACATGCTAACCTTTTTTTTTTTTTTTTAACGAGCACTAACTAGTACCTGCTTCCCATGCGGCAGCATGTCTAACATCAAACGTGAAAATTAAAATTAAGCATGTCATTCCCTACCTTTCTCCACTTTCTCCCAATTCCAAATGTGGGAATCACCCTTAAAATGATGTAATTGCACT